TATCTCTCTCTCTCTCTCTCTCTCTCTCTCTCTCTCTCTCTCTCTCTCCCTCTCCCCTTTCCCCCCCTCGCACGAACTTGACCGTTGTTTTTGCAGGATTGCAGTGCTCCCAAGGAAACGAATAAACAGCCAGCCAACAGCCTGGAGGCAGCCATGCCTGGCCACCGGGATAGCCCGTGCCCGCCCAGGACCAGCCCCGAGCAGGAGCTGACCGCCGCGGCCGCTGTGCCGCCTCCACGTGTGCCTAGGTCAGCTTCCACCGGCGCCCAAACTTTCCAGTCTGCGGATGCGCGAGCCTGCGAGTCAGAGCGGTCAGGGGTGGGGTTTTGTAAACTCAGCAGCCCCCGGGCACAGGCGACCTCGGCGGCCCTCCGGGACGTAAGCGAAGGGCACAGCGCGCAGGCCAACGCCCCTTCTGCCAGCGCCGGGTCGGGCAACGCGCTGCACTGCAAGATCCCGGCTCTGCGAGGCCTGGAGGAGGACGCGAACGTGAGTGTGGGCAAGGGCACGCTGGAGCGCAACAACACCCCTGCCGTGGGCTGGGTGAACATGAGCCAGAGCACTGTGGTGCTGGGTACCGATGGCATCGCGTCGGTGCTCCCGGGCAGCGTGGCCTCCACTGCCACACAGGTAAGCAGATCGCACCCGGCCGCGCTGCCTGCTGCTCTCCAGCCGCGCGGGAGGCCGGGCCGGGCGGGTGCACGTATGCTGATGGGGAGACCGGTTGGCAATGCCAGGTGGTGGATGTGGAGGCAGCTTTGGGGCTTCGGAAGCTCGCACTGCTGGAGCTGGAGGTCTGGGGTGGAGGTCGTCAGCTCAGAGTGCAAGGGCTGCAGCGAGGCGCCAGCAGGGCCAGGGACTTGCCCTTCCCTGCCTGAGCCATAGGGAAGTCCAGGTGCAGGTCCATTAAATAGAAGCAGATAGATAAATCCTGGCAACAGATAGGAATCCCCATCCCATCAATGGCTGGCTGTTCTCATTTCTTTAAAATTAAAAATAAAAACCTTAATTAAAAAAAAAAAACACAGAGAAAAAGCCTTTGTGGGCTCGGGAGGTGGCTGTCATGTCTTCTGTGGGCTTCTTGCTGTGAACCAGCCTTATTACCTGGGAGGCAGTTGATGACAGACTGTGTAAGTTCAAACACCAGGGTATCTTAACCTGAGTCCTTCCAAAACTCAGCATCTAATTTTTGTTTATTTATTTATTTATTTATTTTTTGGTCTTTTTGAGACAGTCTCTCTGTAGCCCCAGCTGGCCTGGAACTTGCTTTGTAGACCAGGCTGCCCTTGAACTCAGAGAGATCCGCCTGCCTCTGCCTCAAGTGCTGGGATTAAAGGCGTGTGCCACCATGCCTGGCTGTTTGTTGTTTTTTAAGACAGTCTCCCTGTTGCCAAAGCTGGACTAGAAAGCTCTGTGTAGACCAGCCTGGTCTGGATCTCACAGAGATCCACCTGCCTCTGCCTCCCAAGGTCTGGGATTAAACGTGTGTACCATAACACTACTTCTCAGAATCGAATTTTGCCATTATAATTTTGTATTTTTCCCTAACATGGACCGTTTCAGTTGAGTAAGGTTCAGTTCATACCCTTCCCCTCCCGTTGGAATGTACCCCACAACTACCCCTCAACTGGAGGCACAAAAAACCCACAGAATGGAAGAGCCCCAGTCCCTGGGCCAGGGATACAGGCAACCCATTCCCCCAGGGCTCTCTTCTTTCTCTGACTTCTCCTTTCTTTTGTCCTGTTTCAACCATGACAGCTCTTCCCTTCCCACTGCCCGCCTTTCCTCAAGCTCTTCTCTAACCCTAGACTTGGGGGCTAAGCATGTGGACTCTGTGAGAGGACCAGTATATGCAGTGTAGGGTTTACAAGCTCTTTGTCCATGATCATCTGTACACACACACACACACACACACACACACCTCATTTACCCATAGACCTAACAAAGAAGAAGTTCAGCCATTGGGGTATCTAGGAATGACCTTAAGTTTACATTTCTTTCCTTTGGGGATTTATTTCAGGAACACTGTTCTGCATGTTTTAGATGCTTTGATAGCATGCACCCAATGGTGTTCACATACCTCTCCTTACCCCTGCACTGCGACAAAAATACTTGAAACCCTCTGGCCCTTTCAGCCCTGTTGGGGGGGGTTAGGGGTGGAGACAGTTTGTGTAGGGGAGGAACTCGAGGAGGAGGGGGGTAGGAGGAGGTGCTTGAGAGCATGTCTGTTTCAGCCCTGTGCCTTTCTGACACACACCCAGTTCTTCTCCAGAGCTTAGTCCTTCTCCCTTGACCACAGCTGCTTTGTCCTCCAAGACCAGAACAATCATGTGAGGCACTCCCTGGCTCTTACTTGTTAGGTGAAGGGTGACCAAAAAGGTGGAGGCTGCGGTGTCTGGGTGTCCTCAGAGTTTATCCAAGGTGCTACCTACCCAGCTGGGTACTTGAGAATGAAGCATTCTAGAATCAGGTACTGCCTAGTAAGCAAGTTGTTTGAGCTTGAAGAAGTGAGCCCTAGAGATTCCCAGACACCGAAGCTGACAGATACCTCAGAGACATATTCTGGGCTCCCATTTTGTAGATTCAGACCAGGTTCAGAGCAAGTGACTTGCCTGGCATCGGCTCCACTTAGTCGCAATGTCAAGCTCAGACATGTTTTAAGTGGCCTGTCTCTACCTCTTCTGTTCTCCCTCTCTGTTTCATCTCCAAATCTCCATCTTGACCATCTCCTTTGCTCCAGGCTTGAGGGATCCACCCCCACCCCCCACCCTTAATTAGCGGACTGGGAAGGTTTTGCCTGTAAGCTTTGGCAGAGAAAGTGAGGCAGGGCCCTGGCTGGCTTTAAGCATTGCAACTCTTTTATTACTGGTGTTAGCACACATTTGAAGAGGAGACAGGGTCGGGGCAGGGTTGCAGTGAGGGTTTGGGGGTGGCGGGGTCGGGAGGAACCTGCTTGCTGGGAAATCCAGGCATGATGTTGGGGCCTGCTTGCCAAATGAACTCCTGGTGAAGGGTTGAGTATAGAGGGACGTGTGTGCTTGCAAATAGGAACAGGGTTTGTGGAAATCTGCTTGTTACAGTGCCTGGACTGTATGATTTGGGAAACAGGTTCAGGGGTCCCATTCTTTAGACTAAAACCTGGGGCCTGCTTGCTGAAAGACAGAGCAGGATTGAGGGCTCTGCTTGTAGACGCATCCTTTCTTCAGCATTGGGGTCCTGCTTGCCGATGCATCCTCTGTTGAAAACTGGGGGTCTGCTTGCCGGGAAGGACCTTCAGCTGTGGGGGGAGGGCGGAATGTGGCCTGCTTGAGGACCTATCTGGGTCTGCTGTCCGACAATGTGCTTTTCCGCCCTCAGGAGGACGAGCAAGGGGATGAGAATAAGGCCCGAGGGAACTGGTCCAGCAAACTGGACTTCATCCTGTCCATGGTGGGGTACGCAGTGGGGCTGGGCAATGTTTGGAGGTTTCCCTACCTGGCCTTCCAGAACGGGGGAGGTACGGCTTTTCAGCTCTTTACGCCTGCGGCACAGCGGGGCGGGTTCCGGAGGGTTGTTGGGAGGGAAGGGGACCCTAAGCCGTCAGGCAGGGGTCGGGAGGGAAGCTCGGGGTAGCCTCCTCACGCTCTAGCCCAGGCCGCTGTAGGCTCCAGTGGAAAGTCGGGGTGCAGGTGCAAATGGAACAGGCTCGGGCTGGTCTGCAAGGCTTTCCTGTGGAGACTGGGTTCAGCAAGGCACAGGCGGCCCTCCAGGGACCCTCCCCTGGTTCTGACTGGAGACTGGATCCGTAGCCAGGTGAACTCAGGAGCAGGGAAGTTCGACTCTAGTGAGACGTTCAGTACTCAGGACGCACACAGCACTCCCGCAGAGAGAGGCCCTGCGATCCTGGAAGTCGAATCCTGGCGGTTCTAAGCGGAAATCCAAGCCTCAGCCTCCGTTGCAGAGAGCGCACTCGGAATGGACGGTGCAAGCGCAGGGGAGGTGGGAGTGTGCCTACCCCAGGTCTCTCCGGAGCACCCCGCGCAAACATTCCGGTTCTTGGAAGAAGCAGGGCATATTTTGTTTTAGTGAAATCATTAACGAAGTCGAATTTCCATCGGGTGTCCTCACTGGGTGAACGTCTCTGCCTCTGAAAAAAAAGAAAACCGTTCAGAGACGGGAGGGGAGCTTCACCTCCTGCCCGGATGCTAGACCTAGCTGGGCCTGGGTAGTTCACACCAGGAAGGGACCCAGCAGAGTCAGGGTCCCCTCGCTTGCCGTCCGAAGTGGAAAGTCCAGTGCCTCTCACGTCCGGCAGGGCCGAAGACCCCAGGAACGCGCCCCTCGCTCCGCAGCCCTCTGGCCCGTTTAGGTCCGCACCCGGCAGAATTGGTGCCTGGGGAGGAACCCGCGATCCAGTAGGGGACGGTAACTTACGAAGGCAAAAATATGTCACCCCCTGGCACCCCCAGTTCCTAATAGCACGCGTTGACAAGTACTTACGAGGACTGCGGGGGAGGGGGGGCTCGCGATCAGGGGTGCCCAGGAAGCGATACAATGTAGGCGTCCCAGCTGGGCTTCCATTGGGTTTTCCGCAGGGTGTCCTCCGGCCTGAGCGCAGGAAGTGGGAGGAGGTGCCGTCCTGAAGCTGCTGGGCCCAGAAAGGGGGTGCTCGGGGCGGTGGGATCCAGCGCGGGGAGGGATTACAGCCGAGGGCATTTGAGGTGCAAGTGTCCTTCCTGGGGCTCTTGCGGCCCTGAGTTGGGCCGCGGGTTTTCCGCGCGATTGGGCTCTGATGTCTTACAGTCCGCAGCAAGGGTGGAGAGTTCAGCCCTTCCTCCCCAGGACCAGGTGGGTTGCACAATAAGAATTGTCCTTGAAATTCCTATCCCGAGAGAGTAAAGCAGCCTCTCACCTTCCCCAGCTCATTCCCCGTTAGTGTTGCTGGGCCTCCCTGGCTGGGGGAGCTCTAGCTCCCCTTGTGCCCCACCGGAAGTCAGCAGAAGCACTAGTAAAGCAATCCCCTCCCCAGAGCACAGCCTTCTTGGGCCCTGGTGTCCCTAGCCTCAGAATTGACCTAGACTCATGTCAGGTCACTACTTGACATTTACCAAGCCCCCCCCCACCC